TTCCCTACAGGACAGGCTCTGGTCTATCCCAGATCAGATCTCTCCGCACCAATCTTTTGCCCTCTCACACCATTGACTACCCAGAGGACTTTAGAGATCACCATGAAATAATCCCATGGCAGGTTGTGGATAGTGACGTGGGGACACCTTATCACTGCTTCTCTTCTGGAATTCCTTTTCCGTCCCTCTTAAAAGGAGGACTGACATCCAAAGTCACTGTGCTTTCGTACCTACAGTATCCAAAACCCAAGCAGGCAGCCTTCTGCTTAGGAAAGTCATTGGCCCATTGCATGCAGAGAGAATGTCTTTGTAGAGAGAATGTGGGTGAAATACTTGAACATGCATGACAGTTTGTTGACTGAATGCACCAAGAAAATATTGCAAGTTAAGTAATTGTATATATAGTAGGTTTCCTTAAGTCTCTTTGGTTCATCTTTTGTAATGTATGTGTATATTTGTGGTGTTCGCAGGCTTTGGAAACTGTTCATACAGATAGTATGGTCAGACATCAAAGAAAACGCTTTCTGTCACCTGCCACTGTTGTATTTGTGGGTATTTGTAAGTCGTATGTATTTATGCATCAGTGTGTGGATTATGTCAGTATATGGTACATGCACATCAAAATTATTTTTGTCCTTAATAACCAGTATGATATGAAAAGCAAGTAAAAACCTCATAGGATTGATTATATAATGCAGTTGTTGAGAGTATATATAGTAGTATTGTTTTATTAAGCTTAAATTCAAATGGTATTTTGATGAAAATTTCTAATAAGACTTTATGCTAGAAAATTCCATCTTTGGGCTTTGACTCACCAGGGCAAAAATGACTTTGAACTTTACCTTGTGACTCTGTTTCAGTCTGCTATGTGCAATACCAAGGGTGGAGCTCATTGTAAGTGGAAAAATAAAGGAAGAAAAGGAAAAAAGAAAAGAAAAAAAAAAAAAGAGGCAGCCTGTGATGTCTTAGCAACTTTAATACTAAGAGCACTTACACGTCAAGTCAGTCTGACAACTTTGGGCTTATTACAAAATGTGATGCTTTAAAGCACACGTTCTTTATTGTTGTAATTAGTCCAGAAAAATATAGCTTTCACAAGACTTAAGTATCCACCATATCACTTACGTATTTGTGCGTGCACTTGACAGTAGATCAAACCACTTTCCTGGTGCCTCGTCCTTACCCTCTTTACTTTAAACGACTGTCACGAGCACTGACGTGTATCAGGGCATCCCAAGATGGGAAACTGTATTCTGGATTTGCAGTTTTACAGATTAGCATCCAGTGTCACAGGTAAAAGAACTTTAGGACCAGGCTCAAACTTTATTTCCTATTTTTATACTTAGGTCTCTCTTTCCTGCCTCTCCCCAAAGAAGAGCCACTGGCCTTAGTCGCTTGAGCTTACTGCCTATATTATAAGGTGTACATAAATAACTAGAGACTCAGCTTTTATTAACCAGCATGTGTGGTGTATTTAGAGCAGCGACTGCGTGTGCTGGTGTGAGTGGTGGAGCGCAGTGTCTCGTTTCAACACTGCCTCGGGTCTCGTATCTGACTCAGAGACTGGAACTGTGGGGCGGGAGCTTCAGTTCCCGGCTGCGGCAGCGTGCTGGTAGTTACACGTGAGTTTCTTTTTTTTTTTTTTAAATCAACTCTACAGTCTCTAACTATTTTTACAATTGTATCATATTTCCTAATTTGGTATTGTTGCGCGGTGGACTGGCTCTGTGATTTATCGGCAGGGTCTTGGTTCTGCGAGAGTATTTCCTGCTAACAATTACAGTCATTTGCAAAAACAGCTCTTTGATTTGGAAATCATCTAGAAAAGGAGTAGCTGAGATAAAAGTTCCGTTTTGGGCCTTAATCATTTGAAATGTTTGGACTTTAATAAAAAGCCATGAAGGTTATGAAGCCAAGTAACCATTTGACATGGATAGTAATATCCATTCTACAGAGAGTATATATGCACATTGATACTTAATGCCACTAGGATGTGTTTTTTAAGCTATAAGAGCAGAAGGAATTAGACCAAACGGAAGCGAGGCCGGGGGCGAGTGGGTCGTCGGACATTTGTGTCGCCAAGCACGTGGTCAGTCCTCCACTCCTGAGAAATGCAGATGCAGTTCACCGTCCCCTTGGGTGTGTGGGAGAACATGGACAAATCTGGGCCTAGCGTTTGTCCACTCACGTGCACACACAGTGAATGTGGTCAGTTATACAAACGCAAGATCTTGAGACGCGCAGGGCCAGGTACGCTGAAGAGGTGGTGATCAGAGCGGGCGGGCACCATCACGCATGTTTTCCAGGAGCCGGGGCGGAGTGTGTGCCCTCTGGGCTCACTCCAAGGTGCATTGTGTTTTTAACAAGTGGGGATACGTACCACCTCCTTCCTGGCAGACCACCCAACTGAAGGCTTTCTTGTCACTCACACACAGCAACTTGCCGTCCCTTTGTAGCCTGGGCAAGTTCCAAAAGCTGGTGTGCAGTTTTCCAAGCTGGTAGAGCTACTTTTTCTGGAGCTCATTTCTTAGAGGAGTGCGAATGCAGACACAAGGAAGCGCTGGCTCTATAGGGGCACAATGTGGACTCTCACTCCCCTCCGGGCTGTGCTGTGGGAGAGCACTGAACCACACTGACCAGTCGGACACTTTCTCACCGGCACCTACAGCAAGGATGGACGTGGGAAGGAACGTAGCTAAAATACGTTTCCCCTTGCAGGGTAGAGAGCTAAGTTCTCATTATTCATATTATTTTAAAAGTAAGCACCTGAACTTCACTTCCTGAAAATGGTGGTTAGTGGAGAGAATTTGGAGTTTCGCTTTGTATTTCCCATCAAGTCATGGCAGAGTGCAGCCACCAGGCTCAATGGGGGACCCCACTGCAGGTCTGAGGCTCGCTGCTCTGAACCCTGGGTGTCAGGGCACCACGTAGGCACAGAGGAGCATCTCCCTCGGCCTCCCACTCCTCTGGGCACCTAAGGAGCAGCAGCACGCATCGTGGGTATCAGTACCACTTCCCTGCTTCAGGGATCCAGCTGTCCCAGCGGGCCAACCCTGCCGAGGCATGGATCAGCTCTGAGCCACCTAGAGAGCACATGGCAAAGGTCAGCCTGAAGCTGAGACGGAGGGTTTTGCATTTGCAAGAAACAAACATGACATTGAGCTCCAGTTGGGGACGGATGGTGTCTTTGCCTTGGCGCCCAGAGTCCCAGAAATGAATCAGTGTCCTTTCTTCAGGAAGGGGCAAGGAGCACTAAACTTGCTT